TTTCTGCTACAGTTTGTGCCGCGATACCATATTTCGCATTCCTTTGTAAAATGATGTTTCCGCCTGAGAATTCGGTTTAAGTCAGTTTTATGTGCCATTACTGTAGCTCACTGTCTCTTACGCCAAGCACACAGTTTTATTGATTAAATATAATACTTACCCTGCATTAATTCCCTGTTAGTCCACCACATAACTGTTTAAAGCGATTACGTTCAACTCTCCGCCGAACGTACGCGAGTCTTCCAAAAATATATTTCCATAAATAGTTATTTAGTATGGTTACATTAGTAATAGTTCAAATTCGCATTGTTAAGCTAAATTTATCTCTTATCGTAATGCCCAAAGCTTGCTGAAACAAAATGATTTTTTCTAAAATACTACGAACTTTCTAGCCTGAATAAATTATAAAATTTCCTAGGTAAAGCTCAATCATCACCGTAGTTGATCCAAACAAAAGGACAAAACCTTTTTTTGCTAAAGAGTTATGAAACTGTTAATACCTATAGGACTTTCGTTACATACATATGTGACAATATTATTCATTAACAGCCTTAAGCAAATCTACACATCATTAATAATTTCGTTGTAGTTATGTAACAACACAACAACAAACACAATAGTTGCAAACGCTTCTGCAAAGAAAACATAATTAAATTTTATCTCACTTTTTAATCACCATGAATTGGCATTACTACCGACTTTTCACTTTTTTATAACTTGAATGCAAATAACCGCATGTGTGCAGGTACATGTGTGTGCGCATGAGTGTGCAAATTTTTACACACATTTTCTAATTTGTTGTTGTTTTGCCAACAGCTCGCGACATTTATAAGCTAATACTGACATTAGAAATGCTAAATTGCATAGCAACTGCAATTAGACAAATCTGGGGCGAGAAAAGCTACTGTATGAAGCTGCAAGTCAGCAAACAGATAAGGAGCTGCAATTATGTAAACACACGAGTGGCTGTGTATGCTTAAATATTTGTAAATGTGTATTAATTTCCTGACTATGCGTCTACCTCTGTATGAGCAAATGTTTAATTGGAAAAAATTTATCGAGCCAAATGGCGTGCAGACACTTTCTTCTGATGACAAAGTTGCAGCCAAAACAACTACAACGCCAACAATAGTGACAACAATTGCAATGGTACTGTACGAGTCTAGTTATCGCTTACTTATGTCAACAATTTTATTGTTACGAGTAAAAGTGCTCGCATGAAAGCAAACTAAATTAAATAGCGAATAAAACTGGCACGCAGAGAATCGCAATCGTTAGAGACGCTGCCGCGCATCGAAGCAGCGGACATTCCAGGCGACCGGATAAGACCACATGAACTTGGCAGCAGTTGACGCCATTCGATCGCATCTCCGCCAATGCGGTAGTGCAAAAAACTAAGTGAAACTTTTTCTTTCTGTTGCCACACGCTTGCTTCAAACGCGTAATTTTCTACTTTACTTCAATTTCATTGTCACACACACACACGCCTCCTACCAGTTATGTTTTTGCCTTAGCGGCTTGATAGTGCGAATAATGTAGACAGTACTGACTTTTAAGATAAATAGATCTTTAAGATACATACACCAAGAAGATCACAGAAAAATATTTTCTCTTTTATTTTCTTGAGTTTCTATATCTCCGGTCGAACGATATGGCAATGTATTTGCGGCACTGGACAAATGATACAAAAACCCACTTTGGTCCCTTTAAATGAGAATTACAGCACAAGTTTTGCTTCGGAGAGTTAGGTCAGCCTTGAACCCTCAAAATAGGCGTAATGTTGACACATTATTCTGCGCGTAAGGCTTTATTGAACATGACAAATTTTTATATATGTACATATACATTTGGATGCAAAGGGCGTTGCTAGGCCTACCTCTGGAATCTTCTTTTAAAAGAGGGCCTCTACAAGAGACTATTTGTAAAATAGGCTCAGTTTTTTACGGAAAGAACAATTAATAATTGCAACGGCGGCAGCATCAGTGTAAACGCCTGGTAGTAGTAAACGTCACTAAATTTATTTTAGTGTTCATCAATTACAGTAATCATTACATTTGTTAAAATATGAAGCCGCACATGTTATTGCCATTTCAAATACATATGTATGTAGTTACATACATTGGTGTATGCATCATTAGAAAGCATTGAGCGTGCGCAGCTAACCTTTGACGCCGCATATTTTGTCACAGCTAACCCAAGTGGAGCTGGAGCTCCGCCGGCTATAATATATCACTATTAACAATTTATTTAACTTTAGCGGCTTCCTCAGCAATAGACACGTAAAAGAAAATACTAACATGCATGAATATATAAGTAAATATAAATGGCATGAGAACCAGTGTATAAAACTGTGATCTCTTTGAATATTTTGTATTCTCTTAAGAAACATTCAAACAATATGCAAACGAGTTTCGAAATGAGCTGGATATAAGAGCGGAAAAAGGAAGCTCACCATGGTTAACACATTCAGTGATGCCGAGCACAATTTGGGACTCCATGCCCATGTGTATTAGGCTATAGGCCCGACAGAGTACAGTGAACTAAATTATTTAGCAGGAATTTTTTGAAGGTATATAAAAGTTTTGATAAGTAGAAGTTCATTTAATTTACAAAGCACACAATCTACTGAAGCTTTTTTATCCAAACTTAGGGAAACCACCCCAAATGACACCAATTTAAATTCCAGTAAATTTTCTCACTTTATAGCAGATTAATCAAATATCAATAAAGATTTTGGAATACAACTTATTACAAATAGTTATTCTAATCTGTGAAAACTGTCAACTGCACATGGTTGAAATCAGTCTACATCTTTTCTAATAACTAATAATATCGGTTAATATGCGATGGATCTTAGCGAAATTTAGTGAAAATATGAATATTTTGCGACAATATGACAATAACGCGGATTCAATAATTCCTCTATCTTCTTTTAAGCAATATATTTATTTGCATTCTTGGAGTAGGATAAATCATATCGTAATTTCATTAATATGAATGAATAAGTTTTTTGATTATGAACGACAGGCCAGATTAGTATTCGCCAATCAATCTTTTAACTGCGTCAATGCTTCTGCGTGCCTCGCAGCGAATCAGTTGTTTTTAATATCAAATTAGAGACTTTCATAAGGTTTACAATGATTTTCCGGACTAAGCGCTCATTGCAATTCCGACCATTTAGATTACTCCTGGAATTTTTCTCAGTGAATATATTACCACAACCTCCAAGATGATTTAATAGTACAAAATGTGTATGAAATTTTTCTATAAAAAAAACCAAATTAATTATTATGAATATTGACTATTTTTGACCAACTTAAACCGTCCTTTTTGAGCGCCGCCTATTAATATATCATCGTACAAACCGGAAGCAACCATGATCTGTTATCCTGGTCTTTTGAATACTCATATTATCTTAAAACAAGAAAAAACGTTAACTTCGGTTCTACCGAAGCTATTATAGCCTTCACAAATACAAAAGATTGTCTTAGATAATAACACAGGACAAATTTCGTGAAAATGTCAAGCACTTAATTCTGATCGTTCAGTTTGTATGACAGCTGTATGCTAGAGTGGTCCGACAAATAAGCTTCTTAGGGAGAAAAGAACGTGGGAAAAAGTTTAAATTGATATCTCAAAAACTGAAGGACTAGTTCGCAAAATAGACTCAGCTCGTCACGCTGATCACTTATAACTTGTGGTTCCAACAAGACGGTGCAACATGTCACAGAGCTCGTGCCACAATCAATTTATTGAAAGACATGTTTGGTGACCGCCTAATTTCACGTTTTGGGTCTGTGAATTGGCCTCCAAGATTTAACACATAAGCCCCAAACGCTTAATCCTTTTGGAAGACAACATTCGCCGCGTTATTGCCGATATATGGCCACAAATATTGGAAAGTCATCGAAAATTGCACGTCCAGATTGGACTATATACGAGCCAGCCGTGGCGGTCATATGCCAGAAATCAGACTTAAAATGTAATGACACAAGATTATATTTCGGATAAATAAAATTCATGTCAATCGAATAATCCATCGTTGTTTTATTGCAATTGAAAGTTCTGTACCTCTAAAAAAACACCCTTTATATGTATATATTGTACGAAAGTATCTTATAAATAAAATCTCTGACTTATCGTTTTCGGTGTTACAAATATCGTGGCAAACTTTATATACCTTGTTTAGGGTGTAAATATATTTATTCGACTCGTAATCTGCTTTATTTATTCTGCCACGAAATGATTCAAAGTTGTGAGTTGGCTCAGTGACTTTCTTAGCGCGGTGGCAAGAGCACTAACTAACATAAGAGCGGTAAAGTCACCGCAAAATTTGTTGACTCTAAGAGATGTAAAGTAAATGACTAAGTAAAGCGGCGCTGAAATGGACAATAATTGAAAGCAACAACGGGCTTATAAAATAAACTGAAAATGAGCTTATAATAGACAATTTGCTTAGTCGAGAGAGTGCCAAAGATACTGAAAAACAACTAAAAGAGAATAAGAGTAAATATGAGGTTTTTGATGGTGCAATGTCATTGCCAGGTAAGCGAGGTTTGAAGAGTTGCTAAAGTTGAAACAATAACAACAAAAACGATACCGGCAGTAAAAACCCACAACTCATTTTACTGTTACTGCAGAAGAGGCCACTTCAAATGCCGTACAACAGATTGGTATTCTTAGCACGATTTCTGCTTTGGCAGTGCAAACTTTGACGGCACAATATACATAGAAATTGGCGGCGGTAGGAGGTAGCAATATTGGTCTACTTATACTCGTACAATGCTCATGTGTGCTTGTGAATAGCGACTAGATGATAGTGTTAAACTGCCACAACGCCGCCGATGAGCCGCAAAGTAAACGCTATTTTTCAATAAACCACTTTAACAACAAGCTTAACAATAGAAACAACAATAATAGCAACAATGGTCATAACAGCAACAAAAGCAAGCACCGCAAAGCAAGTGGCTTTCTCAGTGCGATTACGTTTAACTCACTTCAATTGGATGCAATTCCATTTGAATTATAAGCAAATAGTAGTGAGTACAAAAAAGTCTGTGCGCGCATATGTGTTTGTATGTCACACATGTAAAACAACCGACGGCGTGCCAGTGCGTGCGTGTGTGTTTGACTGCGTTTACTGTCACAGTGTCGGTTGTACGCCGGGAATAAAACTCGATCCACAAACGCCTCCTAGTCACAGTTTACCGGTTGCCGTCCGACTGATCAATTGAGCGCAAACCCGAGAAAAGTTAAATAACAACTCAAGTAACTATATACAGTGGAGTAGCAGTGCATTACTAAGGATCAAAAAAGAACAGGAACGGTGTTGTGTTGTGTGCTTTTGCGTCGAATTCGAAACGAAAACGCAAAAATAGTGAAAATGTTCAAGTTTGTGTGTTTGTTCGCACTGGTGGCCACCAGTGCCGCCTCCAGCGTCAATCAAGTGTCCGATACTGACAGCCTCCTAACCAATGCCCTTAAAATGGTCAAGGAGTGCGGTGATCGTTCAATGGTTTTGTGCATGAAGGTAAGCGGGTACTGCCAGCTAGCAAATAAGAGATATTAAAAACAGACTAACGGTGACAAAATACGCAGTTGCATACAACAAAAAATAATATAATTACATTTGCATACATGTACGTGTGAGAAACTTACTAAGGATGTGTTAGTGTTAAAAAAGTTGAAATTAAATTTAATCTTCTTTAACTATCAATACAACCAAATGTGAAATGTAAGGCTTGGTATCAGCAAGAGCCTATTTTATATGAAATAAAATATTTTGAATTAATATTTTCTACGTTATTTTTAAAATTACATTGACCTTTTAATTATATAATATTTATAAACTGAGTGCTTTTCTATATTCCTTCTTTTATTTTGAATTTTTGTTTTGTTTCCTCTCAAACGCTTCTTTATATTTAGTTAATGCATAAAAATTAACTCACTCCCTGAAACAAAAAATATTGAAAAACTATCACGGATCATTTCTTATCTAACCTGAATAAAACTTTTTAAATAAAAGTAGGTTCTGTAATCGCTCACTACCTTGTCAATATTTTAGCAGGCATTTTAGGTCTGTTAATTGCTTAAGTTCCCCTATAGCCCTTTCCTATTTTCTTAAACAATTGAAAATCCCTGTAAACTGGGGCCTTCTTTTTACAAATTATATTCATAGCATCTAATTACCATGTTCGTCCAAAGCTTTAGAAATTGCTCAAAACATTTTTATTCAATTTTATAAATATAAGATCTAGAAACCAATATAAAATTATAATTTCGAGAACCTACTAAATACTCTCACTTCGCCTTTTATGCAGGAACGCGCGTTACACTACTTTGACACCGAAAATGGAGACGTAAAATTGACTGAAGGAATTTCGTTGATAAAAACTGATGACATCCCAGTGGGGCGATCATTAAACGATGCTGCCCTGCCCAAAGAACCAGAAGCACGTGAGAACGAGGTCGACGCTTTGCTGGTGGAGCGTGTGGCGCGATTCTTCGGCACGCACACACTGCAATTCAAAGTGCCTAAAGACTCAATTCAAGATATGCAACGTGCGCTCGAAGAATGTAAGTGTACACACCAATGTGTGAACCGAACTATGTAAATTGAAACACACACACACTAAAAAAATGAGATTTTGAAATAGAAAACATAAAAACTACGAGCTCTCAAGCTCCTGCAACCAACAAGCTGTTATCACTATGTCAAGCACATGGCGTGTGTTTCTCCACACACGGATGCAATTTACATTTATGTGGGTTATGCATCGCATGGCATAAGCTCGAAGCGATGGTGGAAAAAATCATGTTTTCTTTGCAAAGCATCGCAATTGCTTACTTGCTTCCAGTATGTGTGTGTCTATGTGGTATAGGTGTGCGTTAGCGAATTTTGAGGTCGTCAAACTAGAGTCGTACAGCAAGCGGGTTTGTTTTGGTCTTGAAAGTGCAACGGTGCATTGCTGCTTGAGGTCATGATTTATGCTTGTACATCGGTACATTGCCTTGTTTTCTATAATTGTCTTTCGTGAATTTAACGCTAAAATGCTAAACATAAACTCACATGCCTATTTCGATTCTTTTGAAAACACAAAAAAAAACAAAAACGTTGCACCTATTTTGGGAGTCAATGCTCTATTTGAGCTCTTTGGGATTTGAGGCACACTATCGTAATGTCTCATATATTTGATCACCTACCTTCGAATGAAGTTTTAATGACTCCAAGTCGAATTTTTAACTTTTAATTTGCATTAGATTAAAAACTAAATTTAAATACAAAAGTTGGCGCTGCTTATGTGGATTATATGTAATAGTCCATATGTTCATACATGTTTACAAATACGAGTTGAATACGAATTACGATACATACATACATAACACTCCGCTTTTTGCACTGTCTGCTCCAATTAACCTAAGAAACGGTATTTGTCTACCGAAACATTACTTTATTTTTTTAACGTTAGGTAACAAAAGTTGTAGAAATCCTTACAAAAAAGGTGTTACTATATGAAGATGTGGAAATTAAGATAAACAGTTAAACACTTATTAAATGATGTAACTGTTAAACCTTTTAATTTTTGCTTTCTATTCTGTAGAATTTTATTAATTCATTTATTTTTTTGATTGGGATTCTTAAGCAGACTGTTCAACATGCGAAATCCTCCTTGATTTTTATAAGCTTCAGTTATTTTCAAAAATAGTAACGAAGTGTTCAACGCCAAAGACAAAATTGATGAAAAGTCTAAAATTCTCTGAACAAGTTTCCATTGTTCATATAAGTTCTATACCTATATAGAATTTTACAAGGCTAAACTAGCATAAAACAAAACAAGAAAGAAAAAACATTAACTTCCAATGGCACCAAACAAAACATTCCTTACAGGAACTTTGATCGGCCAGTTTGTATGGCAACTATATGCTATAGTAATCCGATCTGAACCATTTCTGCGTAAATTGTACCATTGCTTTAGGGAACAATCTATGGCAAATTTTTTCAAAGAAATCTCGTCGAACGCAAAATTTTTCTCAACAAAAACTTTTGCTATGCTATTGCAAATGAGCAGCTTCTTGGTGAGAAAAGGACAGGTGGAAATTTTCAGATTAACACAAAAACTGATAGACTAATTCGCATACATACAGATAAACGGACGGACAGACAGATGGACATGACTAAATCCACTTACCTTGACATGCCGATCAATTATATACATATATACTTTGGGTGTTACAAACATCGTGGCAAACTTAATATACTCTGCTCAGGGTATAAAAATTAAACTATACCGAAGACAAATTATGGAGGTGACTATAGATATCTGTGATTCACCATGATGACGAATTTCGCTTTTCCTTAAGAGAAAACAATAATAACTGCTTGTATAGGATTTATGTATAAGCCTGATATCAAATATTTTTTCGGAGAGCAACAGTAAATCCATGCGGTTTCGCAGTAGACATTGCAACCCTTCAAGATTAATATCCTTACATTTCATCTTAACTTTCTTTAACAAAATTTCGTCAATCTCTAGCGGATGTACTTTTTTATACACACGATGAAACAATACAATACAGACTTCTGGCATGTAAGGCTTTAGTAAAAAAGTTATATTCAGACCTTGGGATAATTTGGTCTCCAATTTTCATCACTTTAGTGCAGCAACTATATTATTATTTTTAGTAACCTGACTAATATTTTATTGGGGCAAAGGAAAGTGCTTCGAAATATAAAAGAGAACCCTATATAATTCTTGCCAAAATTCTCGAATAAATTTTAGTCTCTGTCTTTCCGAAATGCTTATTGCATATTTAATTAATTTTTGGTTTCAGAAAGATTTAAAAAAAAAATAATATAATAGTAAATATGTATGTAAAATCAATTTCCACATGGGGTAACATATTTTTTCCAATTCCGAGAATTTTCAATGCTCACATGCCCCAACCAGTTTATTTCAAAGCTGCCCAATCAGCTGCAGATTATCACAAATTAAGGATGTTTAGTTGCTAAATGCAGGTTATACACGTTCGATTGCCAGCCATTAATGGTCACATCGTTACAGCCAAGCAGGCCGGTTCGCGTTAAAGCACTTTCTCGTGGACGTATTGGCCCACAGCCAGACGCAATGTACTTGTAGATATATTAATTACAGCTTTTATTAGTCCAAAGTCTTCTTTGCCCCTGTTGTTGCAGTACATTGTTGTCTGCCTACTTAAGCAATATTTATGTTTCGACGCGCGTTAAAGTTGGAGTTGCAACTATAGAAGCATATGGAATGAATAGGTGTATGTGAGCAGGTAAATGCCGAGGTGGACGCAAATTCAGTGGGGAAAAGTGCGCACGCACTGCGCATACAAACGAGTTAAAGTTGCACGTATTTGTGGGCGTATGTGTGAATTTGTGCGCATGCGAAAAAGGAAAAGTAAAATATGTAGGCATGAAAACAACTGTAAATAGAGAAACTCAATGCTTGAGAAATGCGCATGCCGAGCAGACGGCGGGGTTACGGGTTGGCGTTGATTAACGAACAAGGAAAGTAACGGCTGTGTCGCATTGATGTCCAAATGGCATACAAAGCAGCCTTGGAGAAATCATTTGGGGCAATGGCCAACTAAGTAAATTCAAAACAAATATATATGAACACCTCACGGCGACAAAAAGGAATGTTTAGTGCAATGTGGTGTTGTTTAAACAGAAAAAACAGAAAATTAAAAACATAAATGATATTGGAAGAAAGAACATCAATTCTCTTCATCGATTCAACACTTGGAGCAGGTAGTCAAGTTTGCAATTTAATTGAATTCGCTGCCGTCAATAAGGCCAAGTGTGTCAACAACTGTTGCCTCGAGGCCTTAAATTATTATTAGTTTTGCTAGTTTGCCGTGAATTATGTTGCACGCAAAAGTATTTAGTTTAGCCAACATGGAGAACTGGTCTTCCAATGCGAATTCTCTTCATTTGTGTAAAATTGCCGCAGATACATAGCAATATCAAGAGCTCCTTCGATTTGTTACTAAACACCAGCTGCCGATTGAAAATATTTGATTTATTTAATTTTTCTTAATATTTTTATTATTAATATTACTATTATGCGAAAACCAATAATGTTGCTGGAATTCATAACCTTCTTTCTTCATCGTACAATTAACGATCTTTCCGTTCTAATATCCGCTCTTGACTGCTAGACCCCTGATCACTTTGAGCCTTTTTAAGAAGTTTTCTCCCATAAATGTAAGCAGTAATGCTGGAAAAGACAAATACACTAGAGCAAGATAACTGTTAACTCTGTTTTGATGTGCATATGTATTGGTAAAAAACTCTCTCGAAAAGTTTAACCTATTATACTATCCTAACTGAAAACCTATATTTTACATATGAAGACAATTTATGCACTACCGAAAATCTTAGGAAAAATTTAAGTTTCAAAACTAGTAAAGTTTTAAATATAACGTTTAAAACTTTCAAGGATATAAAAAGAAACAACTGCGTTTTATTAAATACTAGAAAAAACACTAATACCCCTCACAAATACAAAATATTCCTTACAAGAACTTTGATCGGTCTGTTTGTATGGCAGCTACGGTGACTTGATCTAGATAATTGTTTCGGAGATTACATTGCCCTAAGCAAGTGAAATTTCTTGAAGTGATCTCGTCAAAATAAAAAGTTTTCGATACAAGTACTTGACTCCAATCGTTCAGTTTATATGGTAGCCATATGTTATAAGGCTCCGATATCGGTCGTTCCGAAATTTGAGCAGCTTCTTGGTATAAATGGGGATGGAAATATTCAGAAGTTTGACATTCAGAGTATAACATATGTAGGTTACTAAATACACATCTAATGAATAGGACTTACAGAATTATATTTTCCCAATAAGTATTGACTAAAAATTAATGTGGCTAACCGACTACCAAATATAGCCACGTCTTTCTCCATATTTTTAA